GGTGCAGTTCCACTCTGTCCTCTAGGGGCGCTGTGGGTCAGAATGGACTCCACGGCAGTGGGTGTGGTTTGGGCTTTGCTCCCATAAAGACCAACAGCCTTGGAGACCCTGTGGTGCAGTTCCAATCTGTCCTCTAGGGGCGCTGTGGGTCAGAATAGACTCCATGGCAGTGGGTGTGGTTCGGGCTTTGCTTCTGTAAAGATGACAGCCTTGGAAACTCTATGGGGAAGCTCTACTCTGTCCTCTAGAGGCGCTATGAGTTGGAATCGACCTGATAGCAGTAGGTTTTGGGTTTATATTTACCATAATGACTTAAAAGAAAAAAACTGAATGTTAGAACCATAATCCTAAAACAAAGGTTCTTAAGAAGTGAATGAAAAAACTGTGTGCGTGTGTGGGTTGTGCCTGTCGAGCAGAGACAGGGGTGGAAGGATGACAAATGGCCAACACCAGGTATGTGGGGGTGGAGGACAGGCTGCAAACAATGGAAAATAGCAATTTAAGGAACAAAAGGGTTCAGGCCAAAGTCAACATCAGAGCAAAAAGATTCTGCTTTCAGGTGGGTGCCCACACGAACAGCAGGGCTATGAAACCTGCTGTGCACACGTGACCTTCAGAGTGTCCTAAAAGGCAACATTCCAGCTGACAGGGAACTGAACAAGGCCTTCCTTAGGCACGCAGACACCCCTTGCTTTTTGAAAGCTTGCTGTACGCCACTCTGCTTTTAGGGAAGCCCTAGATTAGTCCCTGTTTCCGCCAACCAAGTGTAATTGCCAAAAGGGTTTTCGCTTTATGAAAAAAGGCAACAAGTGACACTAGTGTTGAGCATTTGTTTTGCAGTGAGCCATTCGTTGGAGGCAGCACATCCCGGTAGCGGGAGTGGAGAGGCCACGCCCCTCCCCCGGGCTCCGCACTCAAGGCCTCAGCACCAACCGCCAGACCCCGCCCTGCGTCCCTGCGCACCCTGCGCCAGTGCGGTTTCAGGGCTGATGGGGTGTGTGGTATCATGGGAATACTCAAAAACGTTTCCCATATAAATTAGTGGTAACTGCATCCTCGCTTTGAGCCATTGTGGCTTCAAAAGGTTTCTGAGGCGTGCCCCCCTTCTGGGCAGCGGGACAAACGTGTATGTACATTTCAAGTCAGGAGCTCACCTTCCATAAAACAGCCAAATTAATTCTGGATGGATGAAAAAGTCACAGGTCAAAGAAAAAGAAGTGTTCTTCCTCTTTGCTGTTCCTCGTCTTGCCCTCCCTTCCCTGTCCTGACGCTGCAACCCGGCAATGAACAACCCCACAGACCCCGTCTTAACCATTTGGATCAGAGTTAACCTCACCACTCTGTGTACCTCCTATGTGACACAGAGAAACAGAACTGGCATGATTCCTTTCTCAGTCACCCTGAATCATCATGAACAAACACCACCCAAATCCAACCTATTCTACCAAATAACTGGCCTGTGTTCTTCCAAGATGCCCAACAGACCCCCATGAAAAGCAAGGGGGGCTCAAGAACCAGTCTGCCTTGAAGAAGATTAAAGTGATGGGACAAACTGAACGCAGCACTGCGGTGTAGTAAGTTACGTCCTGTGGTTCTTCCAGCCCTAAGTCTGTGTAAACTCTGTGATGGACTCTGCAGTGAGCAACTGAATAGCTTCTGATTGTTAAAGTTATCCACCCGGGGGATTTCTGTTGGGAGCAGCACAAAGTAATTTTCTGGGAAGGTCGTTCTCTGTCAAGTGTGTAGAATTCTGATGTTGGGATTGGTTAGTTGACCACTCTGCCGGGCTCAAAAGGGGCCCTCCTAGAGGCAGAAGGAGCCTCTCTGACGGCTGGCTGAGAAAAACGTGCTGCTGAGAGAAACGGGGCCCTGAGAGACACATGCTGCTGAGAAAGAGACACCGAGAGACATGCACTTCTGGGAGAGAGACTGAGAGAGACTGTTGGCTGAGAGATGGCGGGCTGAGAGAGACTGAGCACTGTTCCTGAACTTGAATTGTAACCTGGTGCTTTCCTAATAAACCCCATAATCTGTGAGTTCTGTGTGGCCACTACAGTGAATTATTAAACCCAGGAGAAAGGTGGTGGTGTTGCAGGAGGAACAGTTGGTGTCAGGGTTCATGAAAGGGCTAGAGAGAGGCAGCACGTCTGGTCTCGTAGGGATAGGCCTTGGGCTACTGGTGGTGATTTTGTCTTCTGCTTGTGGGGTTAGAGGAGGTCAGAAGATGCTGCCTCCCTGCCCCTTTGCCAAGCACACAGTCCGCAGCTGGGACACTGGGCACAGAGACACCACTGGCGTAGTGGGTGAAAAGTAAATGGGGTGGTACAATCAGACGGCAATGCTGTATTACGGGACTGACCCAATTCTAGGCAGTGCACCTGAGAGGGTGTCCTTCTCATTTAGGAAATTCAGTGTGATGACAACAGGGGATAATGGCATTGTGTCTACAATTCATTCTCAATTGGTTCAGAAGGAAATGTGCATGTATACGTATCCTCCTTCCACAACAAAAACCTAGTAATTGAACATTAAGATAGTGACATGGTATTTTCTCTTATCTAGAAGGTTTTATAAAAGTACGCCAGTCACCGCTGCTCTGAGTGTGCCAAGAAAAGCTCACAAGTACAGTACCTGTGAGAGTGCCAACTAATACACTGCCGGTGAAAGCACCAACTAGTGCAGGGCCGGGGAGAGCGCCAACTAGTGCAGGGCTGGGGAGAGCGCCAACCGGTAACATTTCTGAAAACACTGACAAGCTTCATCCTGAGCCCCTTCCTAGTGATGTCACCCAATTCAAAGATGGAGGCGGCCACGTTGTAAAGGGAGTGGGGTCACAGTACTACTGAGAGAATCAAACCTTTGAAACAATGTAGATGGTACATCCTCTCAGATCATGACACAGAGCTGATAAAAAAATCAACTAAACCTAGTTCTGTGAGACACTTTAAATATTTTCCACAGTTATATAATGAGCCACACAGGAAAAGACACCAAGCTTGGAATGGTCAATACTCTATAGCACGGATTAGGGTGAACACTTTTCTTTAGTATTTGCTTTTCCATAATGACCACACACTGTTTATATACAAGAAAAAAAAGGACTATACTTTTTAAAACAACAAAGAAAATGTGGAGAAGAATGAAACCAATTTCTATTACCTGTGAACAGAGGATGGCAAGAAAAAAAACATAAAGAAAAAGTAATAATGTCAAAACCTACTGGCGATGACCAAAATCACTCATCTGCTTTTACAATTACATATAGCTTCCCAATCAAAAAAGAGGCACAAAGGCTCAGTTTGGACTATCGTTTATTCACACCCACCCTCATGCTCCAAACAGTGTGATAATTGCAGAGCCTAAAGTTCCCTGCCCCACCGGCACTGCTCACACTACCTCCCGGTCTGCTACGCAACAAGACAAACGGTTCAGTGACGGCTCCCCCAGGAGCCCCTCTGCTCAGTGTCCGCGAGCCCGGGCCAGGTAGCGGCACAGCTGAGCGCGTGCACGCGGGGTGGTACTCACCCAGTCCCTTGGGCGCGATGCCACTGCTGTCAGCCGGGTTGATGACCCAGTAGTAGTACTTGAGCGTGTGCATCAGCTGCAGCACGGTCCCCACTCTGCGGATGGTGCTATAGATGGTGGCCGTCCCGATGAACTCGGCAGACAGGTAGGTGTACAGGGAGAGCTGCACCTAACACGGGGCAGCAAGAGCAAGCCCTGAGGCCGACACGCGACACCTCGGCCCGCGGCCCAGACACACACCCTAACCCAGTCCAAACGCTACCCAGGGAAGCCAGGAAAGGGCGTCTTCTTATGGAGCTAAAAACAGCTTTCAAATCCACAAGTAACACATTCTAATGATATTTATTCTAATAAAGGGAATCCAATAGCTATTATTAATCCTTAACCAATTTGGAATGATTCTGTCAAGAATTCAACTGACATTAATCTGACAGGACCAAGTTATTGACAAAGTCAACCAGACTAAAGCCCTCAGCAAAGTCACTCCCAGCAGCTCTCGGTGCACACATTTCTTCCCAGGAGCAGAACAAGGTAAACAGAAGTACCACTGGTTAACATCAGCTACATGATATTTGGAAAAATAGGTGTTGCCAACACGTCTCATAAAAGTTCTAATCATTTCCAATTTCCTAGCCTACGGTCCCTGTGTAGGTGGAGCTGGCAGAGTCTGCACTGGGAGCACCTGGCCTGAGGCATGAAGGGCCCTCAGGTCTGGGTTTATTTAGTCCAAACGTGAGTATGATGAGCCGTCATAACAATCAGGACGTGAACATTACTGACACAGAGCTTGTGGGAGACCTGGAAAGGGTAAACTGCAGCTCAAACTCATAAAAAATGTCCACGAGGGAATCAGGGGCCTCAAGTCAATTACACAATAATCAGAAGTTCATGACGAGACCTAGAAAAAATGAGTCTTTGATGTAGACAGTTATTCTTACATACTCTCGTTTACTTATCACTCTGTCACTCTGTATGCCAAGTAAAGGCACTTTTCCAGTCACAATGACCACTGTCCCATGAAATTGCTAGTTTCACTTCTGCTAAGCGGCCGGTGCTTCAAGCGCTCACCCAGGAAGATACATGAAGCCCACCTGAGGCCGTCAGCGCAGCGTTCTAACTGTAGTGTCGTTTACTTTCATCATTTTATCTGTGCACTTTATTTCCTCATTGGTCCCCGCCGTGTTCTGTGAGACACACACACCTGGAGTGAAGACACTACAGCAGTATGGATAGAACTCTCCTCCGTGGAGGCCTTCCACCCTTTCCACAGCACTGAGCCCTCAAGTTTGGAAGCTCACAGTATAATGTCATTTCATCAGCTAACGTGGGCGTAGCACCTTCCATTTTAGCAAACAAAATGCAAATAACATAGACCTTGTTCTTTCTCTTCAAGAAGAGACCCCTCGCAACGAATCACCTGGGTCGGCTGGCCTGCGCGGACGTGAGCTAACCACCGAGCAGCGCCCCCAGTGAACAGCAAACCACCTGCAGCACAGCCAGCCCTGGGTACAGTCCCCGCAGGGCAGCACCTCTCCGCCGCGTCCTCCCGCTGGCCACCTCTTCCCTGTGTCCTTCCTGCCCCCGGCCTTCCTCCCTGTGCAGGCGCTGCCCTTCTCATCTCCCATGACGGACTGCTCTAAGGAGTGTAGCGCCCTGGTGTAAGGGTTCAGCTCACAGGCCTGTCTACTGTTTGGCTGGGAATTAAGCCACTGGAGAGTTCAATTCCAAGCCTGAAGGATGACTCCAGGCAATAGTCTCAGGGGTGTCCAGTCTCTATCAGAGCAGGAAGCCTGGCGTTTTGTATGATTTCAGTTTTCTTCCACAATCCCTCCTGCTCTGTACAGGATCTCCAATTCTGACCCCTTTCCAAGGGGCTGGCGTTGGTAGCTGGGCACCATCTAGCTCTTCTGCCTCAGGGTCATAGAGGCTGAGTTCTCAGGCTCCATCAGGCCTCTGGACTAACACACTTCTTTGATTTTCTTCACTCATCTTTCCTCCTGACAAAGAGAGGTCAATAGTCGCCACTTAGATGGCGACTTGCAAGATTTGAAGACTCCAGTCACCTCTCACCGAAGGAAGACACAGAGTATCATTTCCATACACCATGTTGCACTGATTGAGCTTGACATCCTCTGCAACCATGGTCCCCGCCTGCAGGCCCAGCGACGACTTTTATATGATACCGTGAAATACTCACAGGGTTTGTCCCTAGGCTTTAGATCCGGTAGTTTTAATTCACAATATGGCATGAACATGATGTGGATAAAGCTAAAACATGTACCTTTGCGGGAGTGTGTATCCAGATGGCCGGGTTAAATAAGATGTGATCACAAAGCTGCTTCAACAACGGGGCCCCATGTGACAAACCATCCAGGTATTTTGCAAAGGACAGGAACTGCTCCAAGACGGCTCTAGTTATATGAACTCTTGATGACTAAAGACAGAAAACAGAAATTAACCTGAAAATATCAGGACATCACATCATGGAACTGCTGACCGAGTGAGTACACGGGACTTTTGCATATGCCATCCCCAATAGTTCAAATGTAAATCATGAAATTCTATGTTTCCTTTGCTATTCAAACTGTAATTTTATAAAGAAGCATAGAAGTTAAGGAAATTTCTTAGGGTGACCCTGAATTGTCGGAAGCCCTTTCCAGGATGATTGCAGATAAAGAACTCCCGTTATATAATGCTCCTCCTAGCTCAAGCTAGAGAAATAAAATAAGTTATGAGTAGAAACAGTTTCATGCAGTTTGCAAAAGTAACAAACAAGAAGGGATCTCAGGCCTAGAGCATTAAATCAGAATGTAAATAATATCATGGTTATGAAAAAAGACACCAAGGAAAAGCAGTGTGCTCACGTACGCCAGTTCCAAACCAGAGTGAAAGCAAGCTGGCCCTCCCATCACCGAGTTCTTCTTCCAAAAGGTTACAAGTAGTTCCACATTGACCAATGCAATGGGTCCTTCCTTCTTAACATAAGCCTTTCTGAACCATCCTGAGTATCTGATGGTGTTGATCCCACACCCTTGAAAATACTCATCTCATTTGGTTTTAACACTTTTGTAATCCATGGGACATACATCACCCACCATTTTCAGCCTCTGAGGTTTCTTGGGAAGCTGCTATCCCAGGGGTAATACATATTGCCACCTACTGCACACTTGTGTAACTGTGTGAATCTGAAGAAACAAGCCTCACACCACCAATCCTACCACCAGAGTCCATTTGGGACACATGTATCCCACATAATTGTATCAAAATCCATATTATCTCAAAAAAAAAAAAAATTTCCTCTATTTCAGCATGGCTTCCATGACTGAAAATATATGGTATCACAAAAAAAAAAAAAAATTAGAAGCAGAAAATAATTTGGTCATGAACAGGTTAACGAATGACTGACGATTCCTCGGTTTCCTTGCTGTAAGGGCAGGCGTTGCCGAGTGACCCCGTGGCCCTCTCCTCTGAACCACACTCTCAACGGATGGTAACCTGTGCCTCTGCGCCACCGCCTTTGCTGAGAGCCCCCCAGCAGCGTTCCCAGCGGCATCACCAACATGTAACCCGCCATCAGTGGCTGCTGTCAATGTGATCTGACTCATAGCAACTCTATAGGATAGAGTAGAACTGTCCCATAGGGTTTCCAAGAAGCCATCCTTGTGGAAGCTGACTGCTTCTCTCCCGCGGAGCGGCTGGTGCATTCAAACCACTGACCTTTCAGTTAGCAGCCAAGCACTTAACTACTGCGCCACCAATGTTCCAAAATAAACAGCAGAGCCTCCAAAGCAAACTTTACAGCTGCATGTTCCAATACAGCCAACAGCAATACGGGGCGACCGAAACTTGAAATGGGCCTGGTTTGAAATGAGATGTGCCGTGAGTGTAAAACACACACTGAACTCCTTTTTCATACTGATGATGGGTTGAAATGATAGCATTTTTAACATGTGGGGTTAACAAGCTCAAGGCTCAGCAGAGGTGCCTCAGAAGAAAGGCCTGGCAATCTGCTTTGGAACTGCCATGAAGCAGTTATGCCCAGCACACGAGGGGTCATCGTGACTTGGAATCAACAATTGCAAGGGCATTATCTGATGCGTTCTGTCTTATGTCTGAAACTCGGAAACAGAAAACAGTCAGATTCTGTTCCCAGATCAATGTTCTCAGAGATCAGACTTTATCCTATAAAAAATGTTTGTAATGTTATAAAATGCTTTATAAAGAACAATAATGTTAATGAGGAAGACTCATTAACTACCCAAGGTATGCAGATGGCACAACCTTGTTTGCCAAAAGCAAAGAGATTTGAAACCATAGTGAAGATCAAAGACCACATCCTTCTATAGGGATTACACCTCAACACGGAAAAAAAAAAAAACAAAACCTCACAGCTGGACCAATAAGCAACATCCTGACAAACACAGAAAAGATTGATGCTGTCAAGGAATTCACTTCACTTGCATCACAATCAACAGCCATGGAAGCAGCAGTCAACAAATCAAAGAACACACTGTACAGGCAAATGCAGTGCAAAAGACCTCTTTAAAGGGTTAAAAAGCAAAGGTGTCACTCTGAGGACTAAGGTGTGAGAGCTGGACAATGAATAAGGAAGAATGAAGAAGAACTGATGCCTTTGAATGATGGGGCTGAGTGAAGAACCCTTCCAGAAGGATAAGCACATCTATCTTGGAAGAAGCAGGGCCGCAATGCTCCTTAGAAGCCAGGATGGTGAGACTTTGTCTCTTGTACATTAGTCATGTGGTCAGGAGGAGCCAGCCCCCAGAGAAGAGCATCAGGCTGGGGAGCGTGGTGGGGCAGCCACAGAGAAGACCCTCCCCGAGATGGACCGACAGCGGCTGCAACATGGGCTGCAAGCATGGTGTGAACAAGCAATGACCGAGGATGGGGCGGGACCAGGCAGTGTCCGTCCTGTTGTACACGGGTCGCTATGAGGCATAAGCAACTTGACAGCACCTAACAACAACTGCAATGGTTCTGAATGCAAAATACAAGCAGGTTGACCGCTATGATATGTGAGAAAAAAGTCTGACCTCACTTTGCGTTATTAAATGGTACGCCAGAAGTACTATACGAAGTATTATGAAGTAGAACCACAACTACTTTTCTCAAAAAAGCCACTTTTTTTTTTTTTTCCTGTCGTCTCACAAAAGTTAACCGTTCTGGGTGGCAGTTTTTAAGCCAGAAAGTGACCGCTTTAGACTGCTCTTCTAACACTGTCTCCCCCCACCCCCCCCACTAACTCTCCATCTCAGCGGGGGGAACTGATTGTCTCTTCAGATGCTTATGATCTGCACCTGTAAGCAGTGCTCCACCCTTCAGCCTCTTACTCTATTCACCCAGACCGCCTTCCCTTCTCCTTCCTGGCGGAAGAAAGGACACAGTCCTCCTCTTTTATCTGTCTGTGCCGACCATGATCCCTCAGTACAAGCTTAGCTGCCCCGGTCAATTCCAGAACAGAGGAGAGTGGGGCAGAATGCAAAGAGGCTAGGGCAGGACAGCAGAAGACACTCAGCTCTATCTCCAAATGGGCTACTTGGATTAACTGCTTGAAACAATTCTTTATTATTATTATTATTATTATTATTATTATTATTATTATTATATGTTGTATTTTCTTTAACTTTTTGAGTAAACTATTTTTAAAAACAGGTTGTTGTTGTTAGGTGCCGTCGAGTCGTCCCCAACTCATAGCGACCCCTCCTTGGGTTTCCGAGGCAGTATCACTATGGAAGTAGATTGCCCAACCTTCCTTCCGAGGAGTGGCTGGTGGGTTTGAACCGCCAGCCTTCTGGTTAGCAGTCAAATGCCTTAGGCACTATGCTACCAGAGCTCCTAAAAAGAGATTACTTATGGATAATTTATAGTTGTACATCTCATAAAACTTTTAAGAAGAAAGACACTGTAAGTCCCTTAGAAAAGCTCAGATCAATTTGGACCATATGACATCACTCGGTGTGGTGATGACTATGTAGCGTGTAAGAAGTGCTGTATGAGCAGTGACTGTATTCAGAAGAGTTTCAGAAGACCATTATCTATGACACAAACTCCAGTAGTAAGGAAAACAAATACTGACAATGGACACTACAAAAAAAAATCAAACCCATTACCATGAAGTCACTTCCAACTCACAGCGACCCTCTATGGCTTTCTGAGGCAGTAAATCTTTACAGAAGTAGATTATCCCATCTTCCTTCTGTGGAGTGGCTGGTGGGTCTGAACCAACAACCTTCTGGTTAGCAGTCAGACACCTTAGGCACTGTGCCACCAGAGCTCCATATGGACACTAAAGGGGAAAAGATTCCACCAACAAGGAGAGATCTTCCTAACAACATGGAATGAGTGGCCAGAAATGCTCACTTTTACTGCAGAAACCACAATGCCTACAACATCATGGAAGACTGATGAACACTTATTTTAGCGGGTAGAGCTACAGCATAAAGTAGGTGACAGCTCAACACCCAGCCCCCTTCTCTTTGGACTCCAAGTAGCCCAATCCAGCCTGCTAATCATTTACACATATTTTTATTTTTTTGTATTTTGGGGAATGATTAGTTCAGAAACCCAGAATCAATGTGTAGCATTTTCATGGCCATGATGACAGACGGAAAGGCAGGCGGAGTCCTTGGCTGAGCTGTCACCTGGAGGGAAGGAGAGCTCCTCCTGCCTGGATGAGAGCACTGCAGCCCCAGACCCTTCCAGGAACCACAGGGGAGACGAGCTTTAGCTCAAAGTGAACCCTGCAGGTGCCAGAGCAGAGACAGGGAGAGACAGTCACAGCTCTGCATGCTGGAGAGACAGCAGCTCAGGGAAAGCCCTTAAACACTGCTGATGGGGATGTGAAATGGTACAGCCACTATGCAAGGGAAGCTGGGTGTTCCTCAAATGGTTAGCGTTACCACGTGTCATGGTTTGAATTGTGTCCTCCTGAAATGCATGACTGCGCGGCTGGGCCATGATCCTCAGTGGTTGAGAAGTTCTGTAATGATGTCACGTGGCAGATGTGGAAGGGTCCCCCACAATGTTATCTGATGGGAGTAAGAGGGTTAAGATGAATGGGGGGCTGCAACACGCTCAGTCCCATCACAGCTCTGATCCCATGTAAGGGAAGCTTCCCTGGGTGTGTCCTGCAACACCTTCCATCTTACAAGAGACCAAAGGAGAGAAAAGGGAGCAGAGAGTGGGGACCTGCTACCACCAAGAAAAAGGAGCCTGGAGCAGACCATGTCTTTTGGGCCCCGGGTCCCTGCGCTGGGATCCTCGTAGGAACAAGACACAGAGAGGGAAAGTTGTCCCCTGGAGCCAGCCCTCTGAACTCAGACTTGTAACCTCCTAAACTATGAGAGAATGCACTTCTGTTTGGGAGAGCCGTCCACTTGTATTTCTGTTACAGCAGCACTGCGGGACTAAGCCACC